ATAAAAGCATTATATACATCTCTGCAAAGAAATGGTAAAGCTCAATTATTGTGCAAGACTTTGCTTGGCAATAACTTTGAACCAAACAGCACTTTTCAATCAAGCTGTACAGTTCAAAAGAAAAACCAAGAAAAATCTAGTGATAGTTTTAAAAGAGATTTATTATTTGAAAACATGCCACAGTTGGATGTTCAGCCAAATATTTCACCTGACACATTACAAAAAATTGAGAACAAAGTTGGTGTTAGCAAAGACGAGGCTGTGGCCATTGAGGTCTCAACTAGATGTCAACGACAAAGTAAAGATTGGTTTAAGGAGAGACAAAAAAGGTTGACATCATCATTATTTGGAAGGGTGATCAATCGAAGGGAGAATATTGCTCCTGTATCAATTATAACAAGCATAAAGAAAACAAGTTCTTCATTGTCTAGACTGACCCCTTCATTGAAGTGGGGAATTGATAATGAACATGTTGCTCTTGAAATGTATACGTCCAAGAGTGGGGAGGAAGTAGCTGATTGTGGATTGATCATCAACCCTTCCTGGCCCTGGCTTGCATGTAGTCCAGATGGCATTGTTTACAGGGAAACAAATCCAGTTGGAGCCATCGAGATTAAATGCCCATACTCAAAAAAAGAAATGACAATTGAAGAATGCTGCAAAGATTCATCTTTTTACTTGAAGAAAAATTCAAGTGGAGTTATTGCACTAAAACAGTCACATGTGTACTATTATCAGTGTCAAGGTGTTCTCAACATCACAGGTTTGAATTGGATTGACTTTATTGTATACACAACAGAAGATTTTTTTATTCAGCGAATACACAGAGATATGGAGTTGTGGAAATCAAAAATGCTCCCTAAGCTAACATTTTTTTATTCTCAGTACCTGTTGGATTAGTTCAAGGATTACAACATTTCCTTTGATGATTGTTCTTGTAAATGCAATAATGGATACTAATATAGATCACTTTATAGAAAAAATATAGAACACTTAAACAAACAATTTATAGAACATTTTAAAACACAAATGTGAAAAATTGTTTTACTCAAGGGAATGTAAAAATGCATGAACAGTAGACTGAAGAAGAAGGCCTATCAAACATTGTTTCTTTACCCTTGAGCCAAAGGATGAACTGATTTATGTTGAATATTCTAACTTACTGTAATAAAAGTTTATTGTTTTCTATTATTAAGTTTGATAGTGAGGGAGAAACAAAGCTATGGAATTAAGTAGTATTGTGGTGTACTTTTGTATATTACACATCATTACATCATTTGATTATGATTACATCATTACATAACTCTCTATTCACTTTCTGCAATGATTGGTGGCATTAGATTACAAAGGTATGCACAAATTACCCATATTTTGTTTAAGTCAGCTGCCATTGATAATGGGAATTCCATTTTCAAAATTCTAAAACATTTAATTCTTCGAATTGCCCGTTCCACATGTATGCGTAGTGCTGCAATCCGCCTCGTTTCTGTTTCCTCCTCTAGTGAGAAATGGTCTTTCTCTCTCAGAAATGGTGGAATATTAAGAGAAACATTCTTTGGAAGAATATCCTCAATGTCAAATCCCTTATCCACCATAATACTATCACCCTCTTCAAGTAAAGGAAGTATTCCACAGTCTCTAGTAGCCTCCTTATCACTTGTTCTTCCTGAATATAGATCAGAAACAAATGTAATCATTCCAGATGGTGCAATGCCCACTAATCCCTTAGCAGTATTATGATGTTTGTAATTTGAGTATGTCTTGCTTTGTGATCTTAGGGAGCTTGGCATTTCTATAAACAGTTCGGTGCAATCTATTATGACTCTGGTTTGGGGGTAGGAATCCTTAAAGCTCTGAGGCATTGTCTCATTTACAATTGACCTTGTGGGCCATATTGGATGACTTCTAAATCTTGTGTGTAAGAAATCATGCCAAGTTATGCAGATTCTTGAAACATGGGATGCTGAAATTCCAACTCTGCAAGCTAAATCATCCTCTAGTAAACCACATCTTAGCCTTGTAAGAACCATAAAWAATTCCTGTTCTGCAGTAAGTGTCCTTTTCCTTCCCCGTTTTCCTTGAAGATGGCTAGTTAGTCTCTCCGAGTTGGTGTTAGAGTCATAATAAATCAGGTTTTCTACAGCAGAACCAAAAGAATCAAAAATGATTTTAAAGATTGTGTAGTCTTCAAGCCCAGTATAAAATTTCAACATATTTGCATCATCTTTAAATCTTTCGATTGTAAATGATTTCATGAAAACTTGATTCTCAAGATTCTTCACTTGAATTTCATAACTTTCCTTCAAAGACACTAGTTCTCTTTCAAGTTCCACTATTCGTAAGGTTAATTCCTCAATTTTTTTCGTGCAATCTGCATGTATATTAACTTCTGGTTCAATATTGTCACTTTCATAGTTRAAGGAATTTTCAGTCGTTTCAAGATCATTATTATCACAGCCAGATTGAGAGAAATCCGTATCATTTGGGTTCAAAAATTCACGATTCCTTGCACGTTGAGTTGGACGAGGCTTCGAGACCTTTGATTTTGAATTTTTTGGCACAATAGTTGGAACATTGTTGTCGTATGTTTTGGCGCCACCAGGAAAATGGGCTGAACAAACACGGTGATTAGGGCCCGGTTCAAAGTTTTTTCGACTGACCAGGAAGATCCATCTCTTTCTTAATTGCTGTTTTTCTTTAGTATGACCGTTGGGAAATCTATAGAAGTGCAAATCTGTGTTTTTTTTTTGTTATTGTTGTAGCACCCGGGAACACAACAAGTGTATCCGCCACGTGTCTTTTGCGCCTTAGCCTTAAAGCCATTTGATGACGTTTTATCTTCAAAATTAACGTTCTCTGGATGTTTGGATGTTGGCTCATTCGGCTCAGAAGAGCTAGGTTCAGAAGAGAGAGCCGTAAAGGAATCCAATTGTTCCGATGGAAGACTTCGCGGGAAATTTTCCGCCATTTTGTSCAGATTTGATACCACTCTAACCACAATGCACTGGGCACTTTCATATGCAAATTTTATAGAGGGAGTCGAGAATTAGTACAAGTATAGAATGCTGCCTGATGAGTGCGAATACCTAGCCCTACACCATACGTGTATTGAGCACTCTTTAATGGGATCAGCTACTTCCTCATATCATAATAGTATATCGAAATAATGCAACTAGTCTTTCATAAATAGGTAGGAACTTTTTTTCACTTACTTTTCTCACAATCTCTTCCAGTGTGACCAACCGCACATGTACAGGTGTAGCTAGTTCCTCCATCTTTTACAGTACATTGGCCGCCGTTTTGACAAGGGTTTGTTGAACACGCAGTCTGAAACACAGAAAAGAGAACGAGGCTCCAACTCAGTTCCATTTTGAAAACAAAATTCCGATTTATTTATATGTTTTTCAAAAAAAAATATGAAGAAAGTGGCTGGTTTGGTATCTCTTACTGATCATTTTTAAACTCCCTAATTGTCTCTTGTAAGTTTTCATCTATTTTTTAAGTTTTTTTTATCGAAAGTAACTCCGAAAGGGATTTTAAGGACTCAGAAATTTGAGTCATGTTTCCCTAGGGTTAATTGCAGAGAAGGTCATTTTATTCAGTTCAGACAAATCTTTTGTCAATGAAACACTCTTACATATTTGTAATGTTTGCCTTTCTATGCTGTTTTTGATCATAGCTTTGATGATGTAACCATTTGGAACCCGAACGTATATCAATTAGGTGTGAATCCAATTAAAATGGTGACTGTTTCAAGTAGCACTGACTGTGATTTCTTTACTTGAGCTGTACTTGTATAGTTCTTTGTGGAAATACGCAAGAAATAATGTGTTTCAGAATCTTAGAATGAATTGCATATTACATCTTTTAAAGTAGAAGTTCTAAATATTTAGCCAAAAGRAAAATCCAGCCAGATCATTTGTAGATTTGTATACCGTGAACGCTTTTTTCTGTACTGATAATAGAGATATGAAAGGCCTATTTAAACTGCACCACTGCACCTTTAATGCAATTAAAGCGATTGTATAAGGTCGTCAAATAACCAGATCATCAATTTAATCTATGATGCAGTTATCGCAAATTTTACCCAAACATTACACATGATTGAYTTTTACATTTTCTTCCAACGTTACGCAATGTTCGGCCTCAAGTCCTTAAATCTCTGCCMGGAATTACAAACCTGCATCTGCATAAACTTCGAGTTGGGTTTTGTTTTGAGATGTTTCTCGAATCCCGTCCCTGCCCAGTTAAGAAGCTGGCATCGATATCGGGATTTGTCCAAAGCAATGGTATTCACCGACAAGCATTCCTTGTTTTGTAAGCACTTGAACCAGCATTCGTCAATGCTTCCAGTTGTTTGGTTGGACAATAGACTACCAAGTTTAGAGAAAACCTTTCCTGGAAACTCGTAAAAGTTTGCGAAGGTAATTTCTCCTGTTTTTCTGAGATACCGAAGGGATTGGGCATGATATCTCAATACCGAAAAGTAGAGTATTAAAGCAACAGCTTTTTCGGCTGTCATGATATCAGTTATGATTACCTAACYAAGGTTTTAGCAGGTATAAAGGATCAAATATTCATAAACCGAGCTCATTATAAAATCAATTTCTTGGAATCTCATGCTTTATTCAAAACATTATATTTGAGAACTGTTCATGGTCTGTGCTATACACTGGAAAAAATCGCGCGCTTTAAAGGCTGTAAATTTGATGTAAATATGATGTAAGTGTCCAAAATTTCTGTAAATTTGATGTAAATGGTTTCCATTAAATTTGCAGAATTTTGGACTGCACTTACATCATATTTACATCAAATTTACAACCTTTAAAGCGCGCGATTTTTTCCAGTGATAACAAAAGTTCCCAAAGGAGATGTGTGCGTCGTTTTAAATTTTCCGCACGCATTGTTCAGTTTTTAAAGAGTGAAAATGCATGCAAGCTATTAAATCTGTTTGAAGATTGGGTGAAATGTTCAAATTATGGAAATATATAAGAAAAATCGAATCATTTCTCCCTAGAGTTTACTTACCTAGGTATAAAAGGTCATTGTATTCAATCCAGGAAATCTTTTGTTACTGAAACACTATTATAATCATAATATTTGCTTTCCCGTCCTCCCTTTCGGTCTTTGTTTTGATTATATGACATTTTGGAACCCGGCTAAGTTTTTAAATGAGGTGTATGTGRTTCAATACAATAAAGTTGTTTAGTGTTTCAATTATGCCTGAAAGTGTAGTTCTTTGTGCACATACGACAAAAATTAAATGTGTTTGAGAATCTTAGAAATGAAATGCATCTTACATCTTTCGTAAAAGCTATAAATATTTAGCCAAAAGGAAAAATCCCAAAAAAATAGCATTTGAGAACAAAATGGAGGATCATTAATTTGCACTGGAAAATCTCAGTCTTTTACATATTATGTAAATACTTTGGAAATTGTATTTTATAAACAATTCTTTMACATTTACAAAAATCTACATTGAGTACGAGGAATAATTTACAAATGATTTACAAAGTCTTTTGAAATTTTAACCCTTGGTCCTGYAAAATCAATTTTACAGACTGTTTACAAACAATTTACACATGATTTACACAGTAAGTAAAAGTCTGAGGTTTTCCAGTGAATTTGTATGCTTCTTTTACAGCATCTGTACTGATGATAGGACATATGACAGGCCTATCTTAAACTGCACCATTGCTGTGCTTAACGACAGGCAATTGTCCATATTTACCTAACGTTCCGTGGAAGTTAGAAWAAAGGTATTTTACAACAAAATTTGCTTTCATATACAATTATATGATAAATAGAATATTACATGGTCGCTTGGAGATACGAATTTTATCTTCTCGTGTTGAAAATCTCTCACTCGTTCGCTAAGCTCACTCGTGAGAGAGATGTCATTTCCTCTATATCAGTATCAGACTATGAGAAAATTAGCAATTTGCTCAATAAAAACCAAAATGTCATTAAACAATTATTCCTTAATTTGCACCTAAATCACATTTAATGGCAATTTTACATACTCATTCTATCACTACAAATCAGTGGACGGACAAAACTAGTATCTCTTACCTTCACCTGCATAAACTTTGAGTTGGGTTTTGGTACGAGGTGGTTCTCAAATCCCGTCCCTGTCCAGTTAAGAAGCTCACATTGATATTGCGATTGAACCAAAGCAATGGTATTCACTGACAAGCATTCCTTGTTTTGTACGCACTTGAAGCAGCATTCTTTAGTNAAATACAGTAATTAATTAAATACATGAGTAACATAGAAAAGAGAGGCTGTTAGACAAATACTGTTTTGTTCATTTGTTACAAAGAGCCAAGCAACTAGTCTATTGAATACGATTGCATGCTTGCTGATCACACTAGTTTATACTCTTCATGTAACTCTATGTGCAACTGTCCTGGATGTGGTCGACGTAGATAAAACCGCAACCACCCGAGGAATTGTCAACAATTCGAACCTGAGATACCTGGCCTTTGAGAGACGATGTATCTATCTCTTGTTGCTCCATGGTCACAACGTTCTTTGTATTTGCTGTCTTGTCAACCAGCACTCCACCAATCAGCAGCTCTAGGCGTACGACATTAATATCAGAACCTCCACCAATCAGAAACGTCACCTTAGTCCCCATGATTAGAAATGGTGGTGAAGTTGCGGTGCCTTGAGGACCATCACCTTGAGCATTTGGGGATGAGATGGACTGGTTCTATTTTCAAATGTTCCTATGAACCAGTCTCCTTTGAGGTTTGTGCCTCTCCAGCCTCGAGCTCGAGGATTATCACCATAGGTTTGCTGATTGTTGAATGCTGTTCCTGTCAGGGTCCATCCGTCAAGTCGTCCGGATTCAAAGTCGAGCAAAACGCATTCTATGATAAAAATTGTGGAATAATAAAACTTCTAACACAGAATGATTTCACGATACAAGAGTTTACATTTTGCCCAAGTACACTTGTGATCTTGAGTAATTTTTGTCGTTATTTTGATCTTAGAGATTAATGTTAAATTATCATTCTTTTCGAAATAATGACAACAATTTTAGATGAATTAACTTGCAAAGATTTATCAAATACACTGAGATGACCTAACCAAAATTCCGTCCATGGATATTATCGAGTGTACAAGTGCAGGTGTAGTTAGTCCCTCCATCTTTTGCGGTGCATTGTCCGCCATTTTGACAAGGGTTTGCTAGGCTAGTGTTTTCAAGTTTATGACTCCAAGTTGGCGTGACATAAATCAGATCGTAAACGTAAACAGATCTAGAATATTCCAAAGTGTGTCAAAAGCACCACAAAATGATTTACCTCGAAGGTTATACTTTCAAATTCCGTTAGAGGTGAGACTGTTACTGCGCATGTCATCCATTGACAGTGTCCCTTTACCTTCTCCATATTTATCACGATTAAGCACAGAGTATGCTCTTTTGAAAAGGAAAATTATCATCAAAATTGAAAGAAGTTTCTCCGGTGTCATGGCTCTCGATGTCTTCGCCAATAATCACTTAAAATGTAAATAGCATCCTTTAAAGAGTT